CAGGCACTGAGCCTAAAAAAAATGTTTTTAAGCACCTATTACGTGTTCTGCACATCAGCTTATAGCTAGTAGTTGATGCCATGAGAGTGACTCTGGTCACTTAAGGAGAGGGTAGAACGAAAACAGTAAAGGACGGAATGACACATAGCCACCTTATTCAGCGGTATGTTGGAATACAAAACAGTGTATTCTAAACAAGTACTTCACAAACTGCTAGGGACTTCTGGTGGGGTACTAAAATAACTTTGCTTTGGATCATCTTTGGTGCTGCATGGAGTAAGAAACACTGTATTTTGAAGGTTTTAATCTCTTGGTAATCATAAGTGTCTGCTGAACTAAATGTCTCTTGGCCGCAAACTGAAACCACTCTAGCCACTGAATTTTGGCTTGTAGCTACAAGTGACAGTAAATAGAGAAAATTGGGTTCTCCCTTAACTAATGGGATTGAAACAAAAGACGGAGAAACTTTGGATTATCACCTCCTTCAAGTAGGGTGAGTGGGGAAGAGTGTATGTATATTCAGTGTATTTTGTGAAGGCACTATGATGGATTAAGGATCTCTTTTTCTCCAATATGATTATAAATATGAATGTTGAACCCTGCAGGAGACTTGGTTAATTTGCTTTTTTGATAAAGCCAAATTTGGTAGATAAAACTCAGGTTTGACATGCAAAAGTAATAGAAAAAAGCAATATAAAATTTTATTGCAGTACTAGCTGAAGAATATCCAGGAATGGTTATATTTATAACACAGTAAAGATTCTAAAAACCTCTTCCAGGTCTGTCCTGTCTGCCACCAGCATGGCACTGTTCCAGAAATCTCTTATCCCCTGGGTGCTGCCTACTCCACCAGCCCCTGAGTGATTTAACTCAACCTTGTTACGGAACTCACTTTAGCTTCTCTGGCTGTTTTCAGTTCTCCTGTTCTCCACTACCAATATGTCTGCAAAAGGGGACAGGGGCTCTGTCCTTAGATATGTTTTTAGGTGAGCAAAGAGCAGAGTATTGCCAACATAGGGATTTGGGGTTGTATCTCTTTAACAAATTCACAGTAAGTGCATCAGAAACCTGCCCTGTCTCTGGGGAAGGGTGACCTCTGGTGGCTAAAACCATGCCCCAAATTCAAGGGACAAAAAGCTTTATTTCATCCCTGCTTAAGTTATGTTCCTATGTTCACATTTTACCACTTTTTATAATGTACCATGTACTCATTCCAAGTAAATCAGTGCCTTTGCCACTGTGTTTAAATGCTCCATCTTCTGTTACTCACTGTGTTCTGTATTAGTTATTGCCTTAATTCAAGATCCAAAATATTTTCCGAACAGATTATTTCTTGTTTTGAGGAACAAGATCATCTCCTTGGCACTGCTTTATGTTAAAAAAAGAAAAAATTCTCTGTTGGTTTAAATTTTAACCATTTTAACCATTATAAAAATTTAACTACTGGTAATATAAAAAATCAGTCTCAAATTATGCTGATTTATGATCCTGGCTACTATTTATCTTTCAACCCGGCATCTAACCAATATTTAATTGGGTTGCTTCCTCAGAGATATTTACCCTTAACTTGTGTTATCTGTCAGTAAATGGCAGCCAGATTGTCAGTTTTATTTTTATGTCAGTCCTTGCCAGTTTGGTTATTTGTGTCTCACTTGTTTAAAAAGAATTTAGGGCAACTTACAAAGAGGCAGGCCATTTTTATAAAAGAGGGGTAAAAATAAATTTTAAAATGAAAAAATGAGGCAAAAGAATAAAGCGTCTTTCTCTGGGGTTGTAGATTATGCTGTAATATGTTTAAATTGTCTCAAAGTTTGTTTTAATTCATTTGTTTTGTAATGTAATTGATGAATGCTATAGTGATTAATTTATAACCATTTAATTATGAAATAATTCTTAGTAGTTTTTCCCCATGATCAAAAGAATGTTTTATTCAGGAGAAAAAGAAAAATCCTGTTTTATTCAGGAGCC